CTTCTGGCTTTCATAGTTTGCACTGATAAGTCAGCTGTAATTCTGATGGGCTTTCCTTTGTATGGGACTTGTTGTTTTTCTTTTGCTACTTTCAGTATTCTCTCTTCGTTCTGTACATTTAGTGTTTTTACTATGATAGGTTGTGGGGAGTTCCTATTTGGTGTTCTATGTGCTTCCTGTATTTGTATGGGGATGTCTTTCTTTAATTTCAGGAAATTTTCTTCTACAATCCTGTTTAAGATCTGGTCAACACCACTAACCTGAAATTCTTCTCCTTCCTCTATTCCTGTGATCCATTGATTTGGTCTTTTCATGGTGTCCCACATCTCTCGTGTATTCCATTCCTGTGTTTTTTTTAATTTTCCGTACTCTTTGCCTGAGTGGTCCAGTTCTTCAGCTTTATCCTCCAGTGTTGATATTCTGTTTTCCATTTCATTCATTCTAGAGGTGAGGCTTTCCCCTGTTGTTTCAAGTTGGCTTATTGAGTTTTGCACTTCCTTCTTCACTTCTGCCTGAGTTTTCTTCAATGTTTCTATCTCTCTTTTCTATTCATTCAGAAGTTTATCCCTACCTTCTTTTAGCTTTTTGATTTGTTTATGCATATGTTCTTTAAATTCGTTGCATTCCTTGATCATGTTTATGATTGTTCTTTTAAATTCAGTGTCCTGGGTTATCTCTAGGGTGTTCTCCTTGTAGAACTCTTCTGCGGGATTGGTGGGGTTTGGTGGAGACATAGTATCTTGGCTTTCCATTTTATTATTCTTTCGTTGTGGTTTTGGCATATGAATTTCTTTTGTTTATGATTCTGATATGAGAATTAAGTTGAAGTATGCTTCTGTTTTTATTATCTGGGTGCCTAGATCCTTTCTTTATTGGTTATGTAAAGCTAGTTGGTACAGGGTTCAGGTTCTCTCAGGTTTATTTTGGAGGGAACTGATGGCTTAAGATCAGCTATTCAGGGGTACCCACAGAAGTCCAACTCATGTTCCAGTCAGGTACACACAGCTTCCTTCACCATGTGGAGGCAGGATCCAGACTTTCAGGCAGTCCTGTGCATTGCCAACTCTATGCTAGAGGGAGGCCAGAGGGGGGACGAGAACTCGGCACTCTGGTGGTCTGCTGTGAGCCCAGCCTTAGCCTACCAAAGCCATATCTGCCCTGGGGCCTTGGGAGTGGCCTCACAAAATCCCAGGTAGGCTACAGAGTCAGACCCTGTTTCAAAAAAAAAAAATCTGAATTTATCCAGTGTGGTGGCATACGCCTTTAATTCTAGGCGCAGATGAATCATTGTGAGTTCAAGGCCAGAGTAGTCTACACAATGAGTTCTAGGCATCTGGGGCTACAGGGAGACCACATCTCAAACAAAAAGGAAAGGAGAGCTGGAGAGGTGGTTCAGCAGTTAAGAGCACGGGCTGTTCTTGAAGAGGACCCAGGTTTGATTCCCAGCACCCATGTGGCAGCTAACAACTGTCTGTAGCTCCAGTTCTAGGGATCTGACGCCCTCTTCTGACCTCTGCAGGCATTGCATGACATGGGTGCATCAACCTACGTGCAGGCAATACACACATAGAAAATAAAAACAAAGGGAAAGGGAAAGGAAAGAGAAAGAAACTCTGAATTTGAAGCTGAGCCGCAGACATGCATTCTGACAGGTACTGTGCACAGCAGTGAAGTCTGAGAAACGCTGATGAGATACAGGGTGACGTAGGAGCCTTTGCCTTTTTAGCTTTCTGGCTTTATAGGTATGTGAATGGGGTGTGGGTGCTTTAAAGTCTCAAGTAAAAACAAAAATGGATATGGGTTTATTTGTTTGAGGTTTTGTTGGGGGTAGAGGGTTGGTTTTTGATCTTTTTTTTTTTCTTTTTCTTTTTTTTTTTTTCTTCGTCTTTTTTTTTTGAGACAGGGTCTTATACCACCAGCACACCATTGTGCCCAGTTTGGGGTTTTTTTGTGTGTTTTTTTTGGGGGGGGGTCGTCTTTTTTTTGTGAGACAGGGTCTCCCTGTAGCCCCAGCTGTCCTGGAACTCACTATGTGGACCAGGCTGGCCTTGAACTCACAGAGATCCGCCTGCCTCTGCCTCCCGAGTGCTGGGATTAAAGGCATACGCCACCACACCCGGCGGTTTTTGGTCTTTTTTAACAGGGTCTCCCTGTAGCCCTAGCTGGCCTGGAACTCCCAGAGATCCACCTGCCTCTGCCTCCTAGTGCTGGGATTAAAGGGGTGCACCACCACACCTGATTTTTTTGTTTTATGTTCTTTTGATAGGGTAAAGAGGAAAAGACAAAGTCAGGGAAGGGAAAACTTTGAGGCAAGGTATCACTAATTTTACCCAGGCCGGCCTTGAACTTGCAGTTCTCCTATCTCAGCCTCCCAAGTTTCTGGGATTACAGGCTTACACCACTAGGCCCAGTGGGATTCTGATTTTTAGTGGCCCTTTCGGGTTCTCCAGACTCTCTGCCCTTTGTGAGTGTGAAGCCTTGGAGAACTACTGTGTCCCATGCCTGCAGCCTTAACTTTGCTGTATAAGAGACCTGTTGCTTGTTTACCTATTTTACTCACTTATTTGTGTGTGTGTGAGTGAAGGCACACACTTGTGGAGATCAGAGGACAACTTTTGGGAGTGAGTTCTCTCCCTCTACCATTTGAGTCCCAGGATCAAACTCAGGTGACTAGTGTTGGGTTTTGGGTGCAGAATACAGGAATAGGAGAGAGACCATACCAGACCTCAGACGGGACCTCGTTTATTCAGAGGGGGCAACGAGGGACCGCAGCCTTCCTGCATGATGGAAGCAACTGTGCTGTGACTTGGGAGATCACATAGGGGCCAGGGCATGAGGAAGCAGATGCTGCTGCAGGGGTCTACCTGTCTCTTCTTCTGGGGCCTCTTGCTCAAGCAGAACAGGCTATCTCGAGCAACAGCCTGTCTCCAACAGTTCCCCCTGAGTTCCGGGACTGGCTAATCCTGGTATGATTTATCGATAAGGTTAGTAGCACTCTCAGAGTCAGGTAAGATCAGCAGCGGTCTCAGAGGACTTTGGTTCTCTGTCAGTCAGGTGGCACCTTTTCCCACTGAGCTGTCTCTCTGGGAAAAAAATTTAATAGAAAAATTTCACAGAAAATTTTACACATTAGCAAGGGGATTCTGTTTCCAGAAAGCTGGAAAAGTCACCTTGGTACCTGTCCCCGTGCACCGCCTTAGCAGTGTGTCTAAGGCAGCCTTACACATGGTTTAACTTTGTTCCTTTAGACATGAACATACCAAGAGTCTGATTCAGAACAGTGAGCAGTGTCTGGGCCACTGGCCTGGCCTTCTACCAGATGTGACCACCTGACCACCACCTCCTAATCTCATGCAGTCTTACCCCACTGAGCCTTTCAGTTGCCCTTTGTTTAACTTTTCTGAGACAGGGTCTCTTGTAGCCAGACTGGCTTGAACTGCCATCTGGCCAAGGGAGACCTTGAGCACCTGGTCCTGCTTGCCTCCCGAGTGCTGGGATCACAGGTGGGCACCACCATGCCCAGACTATCTAGGTTTCTTATTTTCTTTCATCATTTCTGAAGTAATGTGTTCAGGAAGCTTCTGTTATGGTGCTAGAGGCTGCTGGGAGCAGATCTGTAACCCTGTTGGAGGAGGAGGAGGGGACCCTAACATTTTCCATGTGTGTTAAGGGGAAATGTTTGCTTAAACAAAAAATCTAACCTTACATGGTTTGCTTAAGGTTGATTTATAGTATCTGCCTTTAAAATCTCTTTTCATTCGGTCTAGCTTTTCCAGGATTATTTCGTGATCTCAGTAAATCTGAGCTCATTTCTTCATATTTGAAACCTCAGTTTGTTTCCTTTCCTTCCTGGAGCTCTTGTGTTTTAAAAAACTTTTTATTTTTATTTCTGTGTCTGTGTCTGTGTGTGCATGTACATGTGTGCCACAGCCCACATGTGGAGGTCAGAGGACAACTTGCAGAGTTGAATCTCTCCTTCCACCATGTGGGTCCCAGGGATTGAAGTCGGGACGTCAGGCTCGGTGGCAAGTACTTCATCCCATGGACTGCCTTTCTGGCCCCTTTATGTTACGCTGTGTAGTGGTTGTACACTGCAGTCTCTGTGACACTGAATGCTTCTAGAACAAGAGTGTATAAGGCTTTCAACAACAACAAAAATGTGAGGGGCTGAAAAGGGAGGGACCTGGGTCTGTGGTTCAAGGGGTCAAGGCCGTTTGTGCCTTTGACCTGTGCCGCCCAGCTTGGCAGTCATTTGCCACACAAAGTAGCTAAACTTTAAGAAGTAAATAAAAGTCTACATTGCCCTCCTCAGTCTCTGTCCACATTCCCGAGTACAGGGGCCCCTGTGACTGTGGTGGCACCGGCCAGCTCAGGCCTGGACCGTGCTGCAGGCCAGGATGATCTAGTAGACGAACTAAGAACACAAACTTCAGGCAGCCTGAAGAAGTTGTCTTCTCTGCTGTGGGGTAATTCATTTTACCCAGAGAAACAGACCTCTAGGTATTTTTCTGGAATTTTCCAGAGCAAGGTTGTACATCATTCCGTCACAAGTAGAGCTCCAGGTAAGCATGCTCAGTGGGGCTTTGTTCTTTGTCAGTGTCTCATACAAGACAAGGTGCCCATCACCTGATCTCACAGCAGCTGTTCACTGATGCAGGAGCCTTGGAAGCGTCTCTTCCCTCACCCCAGGGTGAGGTGTTCACTGATGCAGGATCCCTCACCCCAGGGTCCCTGCAGTCACTGCTGCCTTGTGCTTTCTTCCTTGAGGCTGTGGTCAGTTGTGCAGTTTTGCTGGTGGTGTTTTCTGGGTTGTGGTCAGTTGTGCAGTTTTGTTGGTGGTGTTTTTCTGGGTTGTGGTCAGTTGTGCAGTTTTGCTGGTGGTGTTTTTCTGGGTTGTGGTCAGTTGTGCAGTTTTGTTGGTGGTGTTTTTCTGGGTTCATTTTAGGACTGATTTGTATCCAAAATTGAAACAGTGGTGCCAACAAGAAAGCAGGTGTCTCCTAATGGTGGGGCTTGAAATGGCTTTCCCGTGGGAACTGCCAGTGTGGCTCTGCGGGGACCTCTGCCTGCCGAAGTGCAGTAAGTCTGTGCCGCCTCTCTAGGCAGACCATCACCAGTGGGTCTGCGGATGGTTCAAACTTGGCAAACAGAGCTGGTGATTGACTGAGCCATGGCAGGTCCCTCAGGCCGTAAACACAAGTGTCTTGGGCATAGTGGCCTGCGGAAAGAAGCACAGACATTTATCCAGTCCCCACCAACCCAGTCCTGGCACAGACAAGCGGTGCACACTCCTGATGCAATCTGGGAGGTCACTTCACAGTAAACAGCACACATAACTACATTGACAGTCCTTGAATGAATTCTGGATTTATAATGAAGAGGCCTTTGCAGTCCTTTCGAGTGTTCCTGAGATGTTGAGAGAGGAGCAAGCAGGGCAGCATGAGGCACTAAACATGCTGCTACGCCAGGCAAGGTGGCTCACCACTGCAGTCCTAGCACTTGAGCTGAAGCATGAGCATTGCCACCAGTTTGAGGACAACCTAGGCTACATAGTGAGTGCCAGGCTAGCTCGGGCTACAGAGTGAGACCCTGCCTCAAAAACAAACAAAAAACACAAACAAAAGTGCTTCTGTGTTACAGCTGGATTCTGAGTCCTGTTTTAATGACTTACACCTATGTCAGACCTTCACTCTGAAGAACCAACAAAGATAGGAGCCACACCTTGCCCACAACCAGAGCAAAGCACAGAGGGTCATGGGATTGGTGTCCACAAAAACCTTGCTGAGTGTGGTAGCTTGTGCTTGTATCATGGCACTTGGGAGGCAGTAAGCTCCAGGCCAGCCTGGTATACATAATGAGCTCCAAGCCAGCCAGGGCTGCATAGTGAGACTTTGTCCAAAAATAAAAACAAAAATGCATAAAGAGCTGGAGAGATGGCTCAGTGGTTAAGAGCCCTAGCTACACTTAACAGAGGACCTGGGTTTGGGGCTCTGACACCCTTTTCTGGCCTCCGTGGCATTGCATACATGGATGCACTTACATGCAGGCAAAACACTTAGACGCATAAAATAAACATAAGTTTTAAAAAATTAAATACATTTTAAAAAATCAAAACTTTAAGGAAAAAAAAAGCCCATCACCCTAAACTGGTAGCCCAGCCTCCGACCTACAGTGGTTGGCAGCGGTATTTTCTCCTCTGTGAGCTGCTTTGGCATCAGAGCTGACACTCTATGTCTGCATCCTGTTTATTTTAGGTTAGTCTTTTAAATGGTTGGGAAATAGGGGGGTGGGGCTTTTTTGCATGTCAGTCTGCTGTCCTAGTGGAGGCTGTGAGCAAGCACACTATTAGTGAGTGTCCCTGGGCAGTAGTTCTTGCTGGTGGTTCAGAAAGTGCTTGTAGTCAAACATCAGGGCCCCAGAGGGTGCTGGCTGCAGGCGCTTAGTCTCCCACACAGCCTGTCAGTCTCCACTGTACCCCAACATGAAGCCTCCATCTTTATTTTGCATGAACTTTGCAGAGCATTGGTCATGTGTTGGATTCATTAGCATTGTGTGTGAACCACTGGTTCTCCCTAAACCTGTCTGCACCCGTCAAGCAGGTATCTCCAAAGTGGAGCTTGGGGTGGATGGGGGATCTGGGTCTGTTCCCCTCCTCCCCTAAAGGTAGGCACAGAGAGCATCATCACTTCCCGCTCCATATGCATGACCCCCAAATGGTGTGCTGAGAACACTTCCAGCCAGCCAGGTCCCTTCAGATGTTTCATAAGTTCGGGGCCCACTCCTCAACGCCCCCCGCCGCCATCCTCCATGACTGGAACCTCCGGGGCACCAGACAAGAAGACAGAGGGAGACCTCATCCCTCAGAAAGAAATGCACCAGAGCAAGTAAAGAGGGGCCTTGTGCCTGTGTGAGGGCCTTAGAGCCGGACCTCAGCGGGGAGCCGGACCTCAGCGGGGAGCTGGCCCAGAGCCCTCAGAGTGTTTACTTGAGACCTCTCCTTCAGTGAGGAGAGGCAGTCTGTGCTTTGGTTGTGTTCACCGAGTATGGTCTGCTTTTGCAGATCAGTTCTCACAGGACACATTTCCATAAATTGAATGAATTAAACTATAAATTAAACTTGCATTCCCAGATTCTGATGAAAATGATTCTAAACACAATTTTCAGGAGGTTGGAAATACACGTCTGCCCCCAAACCTGCACTGGTCCTGGTTCCATACTGCTTTGTTTTTGTTTTTGTTTTCATAACAGGGTCTCCCTGTAGCCCCAGCTGGCTTTGAACCCACCATGTAGACCAGGCTGGCCTCAATCTCACAGAGATGATCTTGCTTCTGTCTCCTGAGTGCTGGGACTGCAGGTCTGCCTGGTTCTGTATGTCCTTTATAGAGCACTGAGGGCGAAGGGGAAGCACCTTGCAGCAGCAAGTCTTTAAGGACCTGCTGTGCTTTGTGGGTCTCCCAGGCTGTGTCCTCATGCTCAGTGCTGCCCCTCACGGTCACAGTCCATATGAAAAGGAGAGGGTGGCAGTGGGCGTGGCTGTGCTCCAGGAAAGCCTGACTTGGAGGAAGAAGTGCCTGTACCTGCCCACCCGGCTTCTGTTGTAACAGGGGTCTCACCTGTCTTGGAGTTTGAAATCCAGGTAGAAGAAGCTGAGGAGCTGTGGTTTTATTTGAAAGCTCCCTTCTAAGTTACATCCCTGCTGTGTGTGCCCTGTGAGGGCTCATCAGCTGCGTGTTTATGGTTTGTATGCTTTTCCCTCTGACTCTGACAGTGTAAATTTTTGTAGAAATTGACCCCATGCTCAGTGCGCACCGCTCACTGCAGACTGAACGTGACTGCAGGTCTTCTTCTGCAAGGTAAACATTAGGCTGTTTTGGTTTTGTTTTTACCTTTGCACCCACTGTGAACTTCTCCTTCCTCCATTCTCCATTTAATGGCTTGAACATGTCCCTCCCAGCCAGCATTTGGTGTGGCACCCGGAGCATCTGAGAGGGAGGAAAAACAGCGTGCACTGTGGGGAATGCAGCTTCCAGGTTCTCGGGGGCAGGTTCTGTGCTTGCCACTGATCTTCCTGAGATGGCGCATAGCACTGGCAATGGTGGGCTTTACCATGGCCTCAAATCTCCACCCATCCCTACGTCTCACTTTTTAATTTTATTTATTATTATTGTTGTTATTAGCAAAGTCTGACTGCTGGACTGGAGCTCACTGTGTGGCCCAGAACTCACAGAGATCCGCCTGCCTCTACCTTCCCCGTGCTGCTGTTAAAGGCAGGAACTCTGGGCTTTGTTTCTGTGCAGCAGCCCTGGGAGGTGATTTGAAAATAGGTTTGTAGTGAGCAAAAAAGACCTTAGACGGTTTCTGCTGGGCTACACTGTTCCCTAGATTGATGGAATTAGGTTCCAGCCTGAAGTGGTGCTCCCTGGAAGAGCCGGTCAGCCTCAGACAGACTATGTAAGTCCACCTTAAGGGTGGTATTGGATCCCGCAGAAACAGCAGCTTTGCCACACAACATTGCTGGCTCTCATGGGGCAGGGGCAGGGCCTCGCTGTAGCCCAGGCCTGTCCCACTGCAGTGTCCCACCTCAGTGCCCCAGGGCAGTGACTATAGGAGGGAGCCCTCAGCACAGGGCAGGGCTGTAGTGGCTCTCCAGTACTATTCATCGAGAAGTATTGAGTAAATGAAGAGTTTTTCTGACAGTTATGCCCAGAATTTCCGAAAGTCTGTTTGAGGAGAACCAGAATGTCAGTGCTGCTCTCTAGGGAGGGACTAAAGTGTCCACACACATCTAGGAACATTCCAGACCATTATGCCAAGAGCCATGCTGTGTCTTCTCCTAGAAGGCCTTGTGAAATGCAGGCCACACATATGTACAAGGCTATAGAAAACCGCTGAAGAGAGTCCCACTCCTCCCAGCCTCTGCCTGAGCACAGCCCCCTGTTCTCACCTTTCAGTCGGTTCAGGGTCACCCAGTAGAGCTGCTCTGGGGTGGGGACATCTTTGGACCACCGAAGCATGTCCTTGGCACGAGGATCAGTCAGGATGAACTCTGCAAACTTTCTCGTAAGGACATAGTAAGCACTTCCAAAGTAAATTGTGAGGTTGTGAGGTGGTTTTTGTTTGAACTTTTTATTTGTGGGTATGTAGGTATTTTCTCCAGGGCTGGGCTTAAGGGGACTTGGACCCATCTTGAGTTTAGGGCTTGAGGGTGGGATCACTCCAGGAGTGATGTTTTTGTCTCTCCATTTACTTCTGAGGTAGTGTATGATTTCTTTGTTGGTTTTAATTGGAAAATCCTGTTCACAAAGATTCATGACGTAGTTCCACTGAAACTTGGAATGCACTAGATCTTGCAAGCAGTTAATTTCCGCCTGAAGTTTCTTAAGGCCGTCATAAGCCACCTTCTGTCTCCTTGATGAAATAAAGATGTTCTCAAAGCAGTTCACCAGGTTTTGCATGGTGGTCTTAAGCTTCTTTGCGGCCTTTTCATCAATGTGGATGCAGTAGACGTTCTGAGGTGCATAAATGGCTCTGAGAAGCTGTACAAACATGGCCAGCTCCTTATGAACGCTTACAATGTACGCCAGAGAGAAATTCCCCTCCTCTGCAGACAGGGGTCTGGTTATGAAGTGCAGCCCCTGGGCCGTCCTGGAGCAGTTTCCTGGTGTGTGCAATTGAGCAAGTATTTCAGAACTGGGAGGGGGTTTGCAGAATTGTGCAATTTGGGGGGCTGCCCCTTTCCCTTCAAATAAAGCTGAACACAGCTCATCTGGATAAAAGCCGCATTCTACCACTGCTGGGTAGGTGAGCTCCCCAGACTGTTCGGGAGTTGAGTTCCTTAAATAAAGAAAGATGAAGGCACAGATCACTCCACATACCACCAGTCCAGCCTTTGTGGCCCGGCTCATGCTGTGAGCTCCAAGTGCATTCTTACCACCATAGTTTGAAATCTTTCAGCTTCCTGAAAGAACAATTAATAGTATTTAGAGAATGCTGTGACTTAGCCCGCCCCCTCCCCCAGCTTCTGAAGCATGATAAATACCTATACTTAAGTACATCATTTGGGGTTGAGGTTGTGGGTCAGGTAGACTGTTTGCCTACATGCACAAAGCCCTGGGTTCCATCTCCAGCACTGCATAAACTGGTAATGCACACCTGTCATCCCTGCCCTGGGGAGGTGGAGACACGAAGAGCAGAAGTTGAAGGTCATCCTTGGCTACTTACAAAGGACACCCTGTCTATAGGTACGTAAGTAGATAGAGGAGATCCTGTCTATAGGTACGTAGGTAGATAGAGGAGACCATGTCTGTAGGTACATAGGTAGAGGGGACCCTGTCTATAGGTATGTAAGTAGATAGAGGGAACCCTGTCTATAGGTACATAGGTAGATAGAGGGGATCCTGTCTGTAGGTAAGTAGGTAGATAGAAGGGGCCCTGTCTATAGATACGTAGGTAGATAGAGGGGATCCTGTTGAAGATAGATAGATAGATAGATAGATGATTGATAGATAGATAGATAGATAGATAGATAGATAATATGTAGGTAGGTTATAGGTAGATAGGAAAATATCATTTGAACAGATTTTTATTGAGTTCCTTTTTTTAGGACAAAGATGTCATATGTTGCCCATGCTGACCTTGAACTCGAGGACTTAAGCAATCCTCCTGTCTCAGGCTCCTGAGTGGCTGGACTGCAGGTGCATGCAGTACACCTGGCTATAATTTGACCAGTTTTTATGTACGTGTACTCCTGTGACACTCTTGCCACAATCGGATAACAGGTCTCGCCTCTTATGTTTCCTTACCACTTCAGTCCATCCATCTTTCCCCCAGTCTTGGAACAGTCATTTTGGGCTTTCTGTGCCACTGGGTTCATTTGCACATTCTGGAATTTGAGGTGGACGGACCCATACAGCACACACTCTTCGCCTGACTTTCCCCACTTTCCTGATGACGGTTCTGAGAGCCTCATCACTGCAGTTTACACAGTTTCTTTTTATCAGCGTGATACTCCATCTTGTGGTTGTGCACAGTCTGCTTGTTTAGCTGTTGATGGACATTTAAGCCATTTCCAGCTTCTATTACAAAGGTGCTTTCAACACTGTACAAGTCAGATGTTTTTATTTGGTAGACACCAGATAGTGAATGTCTGCCCACATGTTGGATATATAGTTTCACCCTGGACGGTTTTCCAGATGGACATAGCTGCATATCGGAGAGTTCCCATGGTAACCATCCCACAGTGTGCAGGATTCCCTGAGGTTCCACTCTGCATTTCCCTGAGGACTAACCTGCTGCACACACACATCTTCAAGAGTTATTCCTATGTCTTTATCCCATTACATGCTACATTGAGACCCAATCATTTCAACAAAGGACCTGACAAATTAAGAGGCATTTTGTGGTTACAGAGTTGAAACCTATTGAAATGAGTTGACGAATTGGGATTAAAATCCACATGAAAATAAAGTCACTTGCTGGGCACTCTGTGAGTTCAAGCCTGGTCTACATAGTGAGTTCAAGGTCAGCTGGGGGCTACAGGGAGAACCTGTCTCAAAAAAAAAAAGCCAGAGAGAGAGAGTCCCTTGCTGCCAGTGCAGTTGACTTGAACCGCAGTAGGGGTGTGACCGGCAGGCACAGCGGCAGTACTGGACATTGCTGTAATGCGGTGGCTGCTGCCAACCAGGATTGGCCTTTTGAATTTAGGGAAGAAAACTGGTCAGGTAGAATGTCGAGTTCTGCTGTTTGTTTATGAATCCTGGCTTTTGAGTTCCACAGAAAGTCTTGTCTTATTCCCAAGGCTGTGTGTCTAGTGTCTCCCTCAGATGTGACATTGGGACCAGACAGCACTTTGAGCTATATTTGGGTTGTGGACATTGTTAGCCTGTTGACTTTCATTGTAGTTTCTTGCTACCTAACATGCAGCCACTGCTCCAGGACCTACATTATATTGTTTTACAATCAGTAGATGTCTGTTGCTTGCCCCATACAACGAGCCTTAGGGCATGCTTTTGACCAGACCTTATAAAGCATGCAGTACTTACCTTTACAGACACAGCACTCACATACATACATACATTCATTCCCATCTGGTCACCCAGAATTCAGAAACTGAGCAGGAAAGAGGCTCCTTGTGAAAATAAAATGTAGGCTAAACGTCTCATGAGGTACCAAGGCTTGAGGTACCTTGGAAGTTTGGGGTATCGCTTTTGAGGAGATTAGGGGCTGGCAGAGTGAACCCCTTGTCAACCTCTCCCTACAGCCAAGCCTCAGGGACTAGGTGTTTCAGCAGTTTATGTAATTAAATGAAGGCAGGTCCCAGGGGTAACCCAGTGCCCTTCAGGGCACAGCCTGGCCTAAGTGGTTTTTCCTCTCTTATAAATGGACAAAGGTGGGTTAGGGGTTCACTGGTCACCTTTCCACCTTGTTTGTCTCCATCCAGCTGACACTGAAGTCTGGCTCAGCTCCCCCTGCGACTACCCTGCATGGCAACTCAGCACGTTGCCACTCTTGAGCACAAGCCTGTCCACTGTTGTTACTACGTATTTTGTAACATACTCTGTGATATTCATCCTTAGAAGCATTGTGTTTGTTTAATCAGCAGTATTCAAAGAATGTTTTCCTGAGCTCAGCTCCTTACTGCATGTGTCACATCGAGAGCGAGGTGGCCACCTAGAGGCTGAGGATGCTGCTTTGTCCAAGACCAGATGTGGCTGCAGCACTAGGAAATAGGGGAGCAGTGCTTATTCCACTGCAGATGGGGTGACACCTGCCTCCTAGGACACTGAAAGGCCACAGGAATCGGGTGCTCTTTCACACGCAGGCTTGGTGCTCACCAGCCTGGCAGTTCTTGGTGCCCAGGCCCTGTGTGTCACAGCCCCTCCATTTGCTGAGTGCTGTGACTTGAGTGGTCACAGCAGTTTAAGCTCTGGTCTGTTGCTTTGTCTTCTGCGGCCTCAGCACGATGCTCACAGCTCCCCGGACTTGAGCAGGCTCTGTAAATTACTTGAACATACCGTGTTGGTTGGGCCGATTTTGAATGCAGAGCTGTCCGACTGTGTAGGCATGCCTGGCCCTAGATTCTATATAAGGTGTTTTTAGTCACGTATCTGAAGAGGAAGGCTTCCTGTTAGGGTATCCACTTAGAACAGGCACAGCCAACAGGACAGTTCATTTTCATTATTGGCACAAATAGAACCTGAAGCTTTGGGCATGGCCTCTAGGTGGCTTAGTTAAGTCAGGGCTTGACCTGGTCACTTTTCAAATGTGAAAATCTGGTGAGCTTGTGCTGTGGAGGTGGTCCACTTTTTTCCTTTGGAGTAACCATGGGGACTGCTTTTGAGGCATAAACGATGTCCGCATGTCTGATGTCACTGATCTCTGCCTTGTAGTCGTACAGGCCCAAGGAAACCCCATTTCCCTTCAGAACTCACACCCACCTAGCTGGTCCACTGTCCCACCTCTTAAGGGACACTCACCAGAAGGTGCTGCTCTCTGAACCTCGACTGGGCAGAGCAGGGGCCTCCAGGCAGGGCAGGTGCGGCCAGCCACCTCTCTTCCCTCCGCTGCTCCCTCACCGCTTCTGCTCCTGAGTTACCTGGCAGGCTGAGCCGCCTTAGCATCTCCAGGGACTTTTATTCTTGTCGATTCTGACGTCTTAGTGGAAAAGACAGCACCGCAGCATTTGATACCTGAGAGTTTCCCAGGACTGTACACCTGCCAAAAGAAAATAAATAAACAAAATGAGGTGCCAACAAAAAACAGCAGCCCAGACGAGGGCCCTGCAGCCCTCAGACTCTGAAAACAGCAGTCCAGATGAGAGCCCTGCAGCCCTCAGACTCTGAAAACAGCAGTCCAGATGAGAGCCCTGCAGCCCTCAGACTCTGAAAACAGCAGTCCAGATGAGGGCCCTGCAGCCCTCAGACTCTGAAAACAGCAGTCCAGATGAGAGCCCTGCAGCCCTCAGACTCTGAAAACAGCAGTCCAGATGAGGGCCCTGCAGCCCTCAGACTCTGAAAACAGCAGTCCAGATGAGAGGTGTGCAGCCCTCGTTCTTGAAAACCTGCTGGTTAAGGTAGTGATTTGTGAGGTTCATAATCACATTCTTAAAATGCTCTTAAGAACAGCAGGCAAATTTCCTATCTCTTCTTTCTTTAGGGTTACCCTAGACAGCACTGTACTTTTATTTACTAGTCTGCATGCCCGTGTACTGTGCATGCGTAGAGGTCAGACAACAGCTTTTGGAAGTCAGTTCCCTCCTGTCTTAGTTTGTTCTTCATTGCTGTGACAAAATGCTCTGACCAATACCAACTTGGGGAGGAAAGGGTTTATTTGTCTTACATCTCCCAGGTCGCATGCAGTTCATCAGGGAGCCCAAGGTAGGAACTCAGGGCAGGAACCTGGAGGCAGGAGCTGGAGCACAGGCCATGGAGGAACGCTGCTTACTGGCTTGCTCCCTCGGCTCCTCTCACCCTGCTTTCTTATACAACATAGGCCCACCTGCCCAGGAGTGGCACCACCCACAGTAGGCTAGGCCCTCCCACATCACTCATCAAGAAGATGCCCTTCAGACATGGCCACAGGCCAGTCCAATAGAGGCAATTCCCCAATTGAGGCTCCCTCAACCCAGGTGTGTCAAGTTGACACTAAAGCTATCCAGCACACCTCCTTTTACCATGTGGGTTCCAGGGATCAAGCGCAGGTCATCAGGCTTGGCAGCAAGCACCCTAACCGTCTCACTGCCCCGACAGATGTGTTTTAAATAGTGAAGCCAGGGGAACTAAATGGTTTGATAGAGTGTGTCTTGGGATGGAGCAGCCAGCACTGAGTCTCCTCCACCTTTGGGCCTGGCCCTGTTGATGAAGCCTTGAACAAACGAGAGCCATGTGTCTTATGCTATGTTTCTAGT